AGGTGAAGAAAAGTGAGTAAGCTGCGGAAAATTACGATGGAGGTAGAGTCCATGATCTTGCGAGGGTGAAGAGAAGGCGAAGAAAGGTGAACTGAGGTGAACTGAGGTGAAGTAGAAGGTAGGCGGCTCGCATGTTACGCCTGGGAGTCCGTCCCTGGCATGTCCCTCCACCACGCAGCCGCTGTCGCACTGCGCAACCTTATTCAAAAGGCATAAACACCGGTTCATATCAGCGGCCGGGGGTTCATTGGGCCGGATGTTGGGTAGCATGAGTTGTCAGAAGATTCCTGGAGCTTTTTTTTTCTCTTGTCAATAACGCCGGGGTCTTAGAGGCGTGGCGGGTGAAGATCGGGCGGGTTGTGTAAGGCGGCCGCTGAGGGAACGGCGGGGGGTCCTGTTCGGTAACTTGCTTTCGGGGGTTGGACTTAGGCCTCGGGGATTTTGATTGCTTTTAGGCAGTTGTATTGCGTAATGCTTGGTTTTATCGCGTGAATTGTTTTTTATTTTGTCATAGCCCATTTGTCCTTGAATTGATTTGTTTTTGGTTTGTCGTGGCCAATGTTATGTATCGACGAGTAGGAAAAATGCTTTTCAGTATAACGTCCAGCCATGTTTTTTTTTGTTCTTTATTGATTTTCTTCATGTTATTTTCGTGTTCTATCAGTCAGATATTTCGTCGGGACATATTTTTCAGTCGCCCTTTTCATTTGATAGAAGTAGTTCCGTGAATCATAGGCCTACATACATTAGTAATTGTAGGCCTACTGCCTTATTATTAATTAAAAGTTCTCCGATTGTATAACGAACTATTGATTTTACTCTTCCCGTTTTTTGACCAATAGATTCTCCCCTCTCTCTTTCGTCCCCTGTCCACGGCGCCAGTCACCATAAAAATTCTGATTTCATATTCATATTTCAAGGCTCGAAACTTTTGACTCGACTTCAGCAATTTAGTCTTGTCTAAGTCCCCTCCCTCGTTATCTCCTTTCCTTTCTTCGTTAACAAGTTTTTTCTTCCGTTTCCTGATCGTCTCCATTATCTTGTGTGATTACTTTTCGTCACTTTGGAAATGGGTGAAATTGTGAAAAAAATTGGATGGATGTTTTAAGTAGAAAAAGTCCGTCTTCTCCCTGTCGCTTTCACCTTTTTACGCTTCGAAAAAACAAAAAAACTCGATGGACGCATGTCGTTTCAAGCAGAAAATCCATATTGATTTAGTATTTTTACACCTTAATCCGATTTTAGTAGAAAATACATCTTGCACGTCACGTAACACAGCAAACGCGTCTCCTGCAAGGCTGACTGAGTGAAGGTTGTTTGCAAAGTGTAAAACCCAACAGAACTTACGCAGATGTGCCGCTGTTGTTATTTTTTTGCTCACTTATTTCTCTTCTCATAGATGTATTTTTTGTTTTTTTTCCTGTTCTTTCTGTGAATCTTTCGTCCTTTGTTGCGATCGGGTCTTGTTGAAGGATCGTCCGCGGTTTTACTCGTTCATTTGTAGTCTTTGATCGGAGTGGTTTTTGGGTCGCAAAAGGACGCTTGTTGAAAGTCTGTGGCGACGCTATGTAGACTTATCCGTCCTTCCTTTGATCCTTGTCACGGAGAAAGTAAGTAGATGTGTCGGTCGCAGTTCGTTGTCTCGTAGCCTGGCTCTGACTGCGAGGGGGGGGGGAGGGGTACTAATCTCCAGTAAACATAGCTTGTGGGATATTTTTTTTTCGTTTTCGTCACGCACACGGAAATACATGGAAGATACAAGCGCACAAACCTTCACATTTGTTATGACAAATGCATACTCTCATATCCAGACTAGAGAATACGTGCATCCATATCCTGACTACAAAATACACCAGGGTTTCGAAAGTTCGCAGCGTAGTCAAGCCGGTGACCATATTGGAAGGACGTAGCTATGCAGCGGCTGGCTCGCTCAATGTCTCCGTTCTCTTTTCCCACTTTTTTTTTTTTACAGAACAGTCAGAGGCAGGAAGTAATTTTCGGCTTCGACTTCCCAGTACGAAAATGTTCGACGTTCCGCGGTAACAGACGGCAGAATTGCAGAAACTCTCCGATTGCGGGTTTCCGAAAACCTTGACGCGGGAGCAATGGCGGAGAATGGTTCTCGTCTTACAGTCCACTAGACGCCTATTACGTATATTCTATTCATAACGTAAATAATAATTATTTGTTTGTCTGTTTATAATGTATATATGGTGTCGATATATACGTTTCTCTATTGATAATGCATATACAGGCGATATCAATAAGTGGCGTGTACTCCACCTTCCTTCCGGTTCGAAGCAATGTTTTTGTATTCGGCGACGAGTAACAAAGACTCATGTGGATGTATACGGCAGTTTACTCTATTATATTGCCAGTTCACGCACTTGGCTCGTATTGATATATATCGTGTATATATGTTGTAAATAGAGATGCATGTTAATAGGTAGCTGTATTATGAGGATACTAACATGACGAGGTGCTGTGACACTTTGCTCCTAAAATGATAGCTTGCGTGGAGTAGGGTCGTCCTTGGCTTGGGGGCTCCTCACGCAGAACCCGGTGCCTTCCGTCTGGTGATCGAGGTTGCATTCTTTGTATATAACCCCACCCCCCACACACACACAGACACACACTCCTACTCCTCCTCTCCCTTCCTCCCCACCCTCCTCTTCTTGTCCCTACCCTCTCCTCCTCCCCCACCCTCCTATTATTCTTCCTCCTCCCCCACCTTCTCCTCCTCCTCCAGCCTTCTCCTCTTCCTCCCCACCTCCTCTCTCCTCTCCCCCACCCTCCTCTTCCTCCTCTCCACCCTGCTCCTGCCTACTCCTCCTTTGCTTCCCCCGTCCCACTCCTCCACCTTTCTCTCTCCTCCACCTTTCTCCTCTCTTTTACTGCCTACTCCTGTTCCTCCTCTACTCTTCTTCGTCTTCGTCATCCTCTTCCTCTTCTCTCTTCCCCCTTCCTCCTCCCCTCTTCTCTCTCCTCTCTCTCCCCCTATTCTTTCTCCCTCTCCCTCTCCCTCTCCCCACTCCCTCTCCCTCTCCCCCCTCTTCTCTTCCCTCCCCTCTCCCCTCTCCCCACTCCCACTCCCTTCTCTCCCCTCCCCTCCCTCGGCACATAAAATAATATGATTATTAGTGTTTGTAATCCCGTAATTGCGGAAGGGACAGCACGAAGCCAAGGTCTCATCACGCCACGGACCTCTGACGTCACCGCCGACCTCTTCGAGCTCGCAGGAGGACACACCGAACACACACGCACGGGCGCAAACCACAAGCACGCGAGGGTTACGTCTGTTGTGGACTGATTGGCTATTCTGTGTATGAAAGGCGTTTGATATGCTATGAATATATATATATATATATAATATATATATATATAGATATAGATATAGATATAGATATTATATGATATTGTATAGATATGTATATATATATATATTATATATATATATATATATGTGTGTGTGTGTATTGTGTGTATGTGTGCGTTTGTGTGTGTGTGGGGTGTGTGTGTGTGGTGTGTGTGTGTGTGTGGTGTGTGTGGTGGTGTGTGTGTGTGTGTTGTGTGTGTGTGTGGTGTGTGTGTGTTGTGTGTGTGTGTGTGTGTGTGTGTTGTGGTGTGTGTGTGTGGTGGTGTGTGTGTGTGTGTGTGTGTGTGTGTTGTGTGTGTGTATAGATGTATATATAGATGCATACACATACTTATCTACATACATACATGCATACATATCTACATATATACTCATGTATATATTATGCCTATTATGTAGAGGAGTGAAATTGACTGACTGCGATTGACTGACTGACTGACCACTTCCCACCCATTTAATGCCACGAACAGCCATCCAAATATCAAGTGGAAATCTAAAATATAAAATGGAGACATAAGATTTTTTTTTAGTCTGCACCAATCCTCGAACACTTATTTCTGTTCTTTCTGGATGTTTAAATACCTTTCGTGACGCTTATGTCAGCAGTTCACTTGTGATGTATTCCGTTTTTTTCTGTCTGTGTTTATTTGACCTTTTTTTTTAGATATAGGTATTTTTTTTACTTGATAACGGTATTTTTTCTTGTTTCAGAACATTGGCATAACACTAAAAGTATCAAAGCATAAAAGTTGTTCATAAACATTGTTTTAGATCACATTAGGAACCACATCATACATTATACAATACATTTATAATAATCTGTTACGTGAATTCAGAAACCAAGTACATATATATATTTATAATAAATGTTCATTATTCAGGAATTTGGTTTCACGAGAGAGGATGAGCAAGAGTTACAGTTCAGTCTGTGATTATCATTAACTTATTCTTTATTAATTGATAATTGAGTGATTGATTTTGTCTGGTTAGGAGGCAGGCTGTCAGTGGGCTCACGAAATGGTAAGTTGAATCATGAATGTGAGCTCTGCGTCATGTGATTCTCTTGTGAATATAAACGAGGTTGAAGGTTTTTGTCTCGCCTGTGAAATCCACACCGAACACATCAAAACACACATCAAAAGAACACAACAACAACAAAACAATGAAAAAAAAGATTAACAAAAAATAACAAAAAACAAAAACATAAACAATGATAACGAAGAAAACAGCCATAAAACAACAATGATAACGAAAAATAGCCATAAAACAACAATGATAACGAAAAAACAGCCATAAAACAACAATAATAACGAAGAAAACAGCCATAAAACAACAATAATAACAAAAAACAGCCATAAAACAACAATAATAACGAAAAAAACAGCATAAAACAACAATGATAACGAAAAAAGCCATAAAACAACAATAATAACGAAGAAAACAGCCATAAAACAAAATAAAAAAAAAACAGCCATAAACAACAAATAACGAAAAAAACAGCCATAAAAAACAAAAACACTGACAGGACCAAACCCGGAGCCAGGCTCGACCTGGCCCGAAAAGACACACGCTAGGCAAACCCTCTCCCGAGCGACCCTTTCTGAGACTCGGTTCCTCCCGACAGCTGATGAAACTGGGCCAGAAGGTGCTGGGGAAGCGCCTGTTCGCCGCCCTCATGAAGGCCACCTTCTACGGCCACTTCGTCGCGGGCGAGGACCAGATCAAGATCCAGCCGACCCTCGAGCGACTCCGGTCCTTCGGCGTCAAGAGCATCCTGGACTACTCGGTGGAGGAGGACATCAGCTCCGAGGACGCCGAGGAGCGGGAGATGGAGTGAGTACCTCGAGTGGCGTTTCTCTGTCGGGCTCTTGTTTATTATTGCTCATTTATTCATTTATTTATTCGATTTATTTTTTTTTCATTTTTTATTTATTTATATCATTAAGGTGGTTGGTTTCCCGCTGTACATTTTTTTTTCTCTCTCCGAAGTAAAGGAGGAGAGGAATCTGTACAGCAGGATGTATGGTATGAGGTTTTCTCACTTCGGTGGCGTTCAGCATTTCGCGTCCGGTCCCGAGAAGGCGCGTGAAAGAGCGCTTTTGGCTGCTCTTGCATCTGCTGTTGCGGAATTGTTCTCTCATCCTGAACTTACGTTGGTGAGTCGAGGAGAAAAAGAATGGTATCGTCAGCGAATACCATCGTCCAAATTTAATTACTGGAATTACTGAGCTTGTTATAATCGGCTTGTTATATCCGAAGGTGTCTCGCGTCCTGCAGTTGGGGGGGTTGTTGACGTTAGTCACACGAAACTCGCCAATTATCAGTGATTGGGGAATGATTAAGTAATGAAGCTTGAGCCACGGTTGATTACTTGTGCAACGAGACAAAAATGTTGCGCCATTGATTGGATATCCGCGATGACGAGGGTAAGAAGAGAGAGAGAGAATAAGGATTAGATTACCTTCGCTTCTTTGTCTTTTACACTTAAATCCCTGAGTGATTGGGCTTTTAAGAACGATTTATTGGGGGGCAAAAGAACGCTTCACTTGACCCGAACCATCTTCACGTTAACTTTAATAGATATATATTGGCCCTTTAGAATATGTTTATGGAGGGAAAAGACGTTTCATGTGACCCTAAATTTTCCCCCGCGTCCACCGCCCCACAGACACAATACTCGACCTCGGGTATGACAGGCCTCCCTCGCAGCGCCTCCTCCTCGAACCAAGGTGTAATCCTCGCCTGGAGCCTTTCCCTCTCCTTCCTCCGAATGTAATCCCGTCCTCTTCTCCCACTCGGCCTCATTCTCGAGCCGCTCAGCAGCCACTTCAGACTCGGGCCTCCTCCTCCCGGATTTTCCTCTCCTCGGGCCTCCGGGGTCGGTCCTCGTCGGGTTCTGGTTCCTGTTCGTGTCTTTTCTTTCTTTCTTTTTGTTTGACGCGTCGTCGTCGTCGTCCTCCTTCTCTTCCACTTTCTTTGGGTCGTCCTCCTTCTCTCCTCTTTCTTTGGGTCGTCCTCCTTAACCTCCTCTTTGACTCGTCCTCCTCCTCTTTCTCTTCCTTGTCATCCTAGTTTTCGTCGTCGTCATCCTCCCCTCTTCTTCCTCCTACTCCTCCGCCTCCTCTTTCTCCCCTCTTCTTCCTCCTATTCCTCCTCCTCCTCTTCCTCCTCCTCCTCCTCCTCTTCCTCCCCTCCTCCTCCTCCTCCTCTTCCTCCTCCTCCTCTTCGTGTCAAGTGTGCAGCTCCTTCCAATGGCTCTGAGTGACTTTTTGCATCTTCATCTTGGCAGCTCGACTTTGCTCTTTTCTTCTTTTCTGTCTCCTTCTTTTCCTTCTTCTTTTCTGTCTCCTGATTTTCCTTCTTTTCTGCTTTTCTTTCTCCCTTTTGTGAAAACTTTTATTTCTGAGGATGTAAGCCCAAGGAATGGAGGGATTCGGACGCGTCCTAATCGCGATGGCTAGCGTGTTTCTTTTCTTATCGGAATTGTTTCCTTTTCTCTTCGCTTCTCTCCTCCTTTTGCCTCTTCTCGCTTTTATTCTCTTCTTTTCTTTTCTTTTTTTTCTTTCGTTGTTTTTTTTTTGTTTTGATTTTGTATTCTCCTTCTCTCTTCCGGTGCATTCGACTTCTTTTGTTTTCGTTTTTTCGTCTTTCTGTTTCCTGGATGACAAAATGCTTTCATTTTATTTTCCTTTTGATTTTTTCTGGTGTTTTGGATTTTTTTTTCATTTCAACTTTCATGTCTTTTCCATATTTTGGATTTTTTCATTACATCTTTCATGGCTTTTCCATATTTTTATTTATTCATTTAGATTTTTCCCATTTTCATTCCAGACCATTCTCCATCTCTTCTCGATTTGCTCTTGTTATTTTCCCTTCCCTGTTTCTCTCCTCCCACGCTTCTGCCTCCCATTCCAATTTTTATGGTTATTTTATTTTGAACACTTCCCAAATTTACTTACTCTTCTTGTCCATTCTCTTCCTCTTTCTCTTCTTATTATCTTCTCTCTTTCTTTTCCTTTTCCTCTTCTCTCTTTCTCTTTTCTTTTATCTTCCTATTATCTTCTCTTTTTCTCTTCCTCTTATCTTCCTTTTATCTTCTCTTTTTCTCTTCCTCTTATCATCTCTCTTTCTCTTCTTCTTCCTCTTATCTTCTTATCTTCTCCCTTTCTCTTCTCCTCCTCTCCTTTCTTTCCTTTCCTTCTCTCCTCTCCTTCGTATTCTCTTTCCTCCGTGTATTTATCCTCATTGCATAGCCCCAAGAATGCTGCGTGTGTGTGTCCCGGAATGGCCGAATAGACAAAGACAATGCTGAGGTAGTGCCCCGTCGAAGCATGTTACGAGCAGCCAATGGCATGTGCGTGTGTTGGGTGCCTGGTGGGTGGCTGTTGGGTGCCTGGTGGATGCCTGGTGGGTGCCTGGTGGGTGCCTGGTGGGTGCCTGGTGGGTGCCTGGTGGGTGCCTGGGGGTGCCTGGTGGGTGCCTGGTGGGTGCCTGGTGGGTGCCTGGGGGTGCCTGGTGGGTGCCTGGTGGGTGCCTGGTGGGTGCCTGGTGGGTGCCTGGGGGTGCCTGGTGGGTGCCTGGTGGGTGCCTGGTGGGTGCCTGGTGGATGCCTGGTGGGTTGGGTGGGTGGATGAGGGGGGTGGGGTGTTGAGAGGCAATTGCAGGCGTTGGTTTGTGGGAATTTAATGAATTCATTAAAGATGAAGAAATTAGGTAAATGGAATAACTAATCCTCAAAAAAACTGCAGGTAAATCTTATTTAATTCGTGGAATAAGAAAAAGAATCGGTAGAAAGGTATGAATGAGAATGAATATCTTCACAATACAAGAGGTGTATTAAATACATCTCTTGCATTTGTGAAAATATTCATTCTCATTCATACCTTTTCTACATTTGTCAACATCGGATAAATGGTATAACCGACCACCACAAAACTCCAGGTAAATTATTTAATTCGTGGAACAGGAATTAGAGGAAGACGAAATAAACAAGTCACAAAATGGCAGGCCAATCTAATCAATAACGAGAATGATAATTAAGGGAAATGATGTACCCGACAAGCCACAATGCCGACAGTATTTCGTGACATTGTCAATACAAGAAGAAAAAAAAAAAGAAAAAAAAAAAGAGAGAAATTGAAGCGAGTGACGAGGCGGGGTGCTGAGGGGGGGGGAGAGGGGGAGAGAGGGGGGAGAGGGAGGGGGGGGAGGTCGGACATTTCAGCGGCGGAAACAGCTGTCCGGCTTGCAATAACTGTCGCTTCTCCAACCTATTTGCTTGCGTGTTTGCTTGCTTGCTTTGCTTGCTTGCTTTGTTTTATTTGGGATGAGAATTGGGATGTAGCGAAAGGAGGAGAGTAGATGAGGATGAATGGGGGTGGGTGTGGATAGAATGAGGATTAGTGTGGATAGATGTGGATAGAATGAGGGTGAATAAGGATAGATGAAGATGAATGAGAATAGATGAAGATGAATAAGGATAGATGAGGATGAATGAGGATAGATGAGGATGAATGAGGATAGATGAGAATAGATGAAGATGAATGAGGATAGATGAAGATGAATGAGGATAGATGACGAGGAATGAGAATAGATGACGAGGAATAAGGATAGATGAAGATGAATAAGGATAGATGAGGATGAATGAGGATAGATGAGGATGAATGAGGATAGATGAGAATAGATGAAGATGAATGAGGATAGATGACGATGAATGAGAATAGATGAAGATGAATGAGGATAGATGAGGATGAATGAGGATAGATGAGGATGAATGAGGATAGATGAGAATAGATGAAGATGAATGAGGATAGATGAAGATGAATGAGGATAGATGAAGATGAATGAGGATAGATGAGAATAGATGAAGATGAATGAGGATAGATGAGGATGAATGAGGATAGATGAGGATGAATGAGGATAGATGACGAGGAATAAGGATAGATGAAGATGAATGAGGATAGATGAAGATGAATGAGGATAGATGAAGATGAATGAGGATAGATGAGGATAGATGAGAATAGATGAAACGCTAATAGGCAAGGCGATTGGCTTAAGGAGCGGCAGGTATGTACGTATGTAAGCAATGTGATTCGAGACTGAAATTATTGCGTAATCAGTTCAGTTTACGGGAAGTGGCGCAAGGGACAGAGATTCAGGGGGTCGTTTCAGGGGACGATTCAGGGGTTGTTTCAGGGGGGTCGTTTGTTTCAGGGGTCGTTCCAGGGGGGTCGTTTCAGGGGGTCGTTTCAGGGGGTCGTTTCAGGGGGGTCGTTCCAGGGGGTCGTTCCAGGGTGCTTTCCAGGGGCGTTTCAGGGGGTCGTTTCAGGACCTCGCCCTCGGTCTTGGCGGCGTTGAGGCCAAGGTGAAGGCGTTCAGGTCCGCCGTCAGACTAGGGAAGCGCTGGGGAATCTAGGGCTTCTGCCATCGCCTGCTAACGGGTTGTTTCCCTTTCATGTAATGTCTATCGGTCGGTCTGCATTTGTAATATGTAAACAAATTATATGTGAATATTATTTATCTTGTATATACTTATCATACCAATTATATATATGTATATGTATATAAATATAAATGTATATATATATATATATATATATATATATATATATATATATATATATATTAAATTACACACACGCACACGCACACGCACACGCACACGCACACGCGCACACACACGCGCAACACACACACACACACACACACACACACACACACACACACACACACACACACACACAACACACACACACACACACACACACACACACCCTATACATATTGTATATTATATACATATGCATATATTATATACATATGTATATATTATA